TTACAGCCCTCCAATCTAAAGGAGACGCATAATAACAATAAAAAGGAGACAAAAAAGGAGACAAAAAAGGAGACAGTACCTGTACAAGTACGTATACAGCCCTCCAATCTAAAGGAGACAAAAAAGGAGACAAAAAAGGAGACAAAAAAGGAGACAGTTGTGTACCTGTACAAGTACGTATACAGCCCTCCAGTCTTGTCTTTGATGAATTAAATTTCCAAATTTTTCATAAAAATCAAAAAATTTGCCGCGAGAAGAACGAAGGTGCTGCAGCAAATAAAATATGCATGCATGCATGCATGCATGCATGCGTGCTGCTGCTGCTGCTGCTGCTGCTGCTGCTGCTGCTGCTGCTGCTTACCTTTGTTTCCCTCGGTCCTGGTACGCGAGTGAGGATAATGCCACCAGAGACAAAAGGAGACACTTCAAATGGAGACGCCAAGTGGAGCCCCATAGCAAAGGGAGGCCTGCAGCAGCAGCAGCAGCAGCAGCAGCAGCAGCAGCAGCAAGAGCAGCAGGAGCGGATGGAGACCCAACGCCTCTTCGTTAGCAGCAGCACGCAATAAACCCCATGAAAGTGTCTCCTTATAACACCCCCCTTATGTGCACTCACCCTTGTAGACCTTGCTGCTGCTGCTGCAATTGCTGCTTCTTTTGCTGCTGCTGTTGTTGCTGTTGCTGCTGCTGGTCTAGGAGCTGCTGCTGTGTCTCCAAGTCCATAGGTTGCTGCCCATTATAAAAATAGCAGCAAAAATTCCTTAATCGTTGTCTTGCTGCCTGCAGCAGCAGCGGCCTCTCATCTGTCCCTACAAGGGTTATTCGCGGTGTATAGCCATCTCCTCTTGCTGCTGCTGCTGCTGCAGCTGCAGCAGCAGCAGAAGGAGCAGTAGTAGGAGTACTACCATACACAGCAGCATGCGCACCTGCTCCTACACCATGCTTCTTCCCGTGCCGCTGTTGCTGCAGCATCTGCTGCATCTGCTGCTGCTGCTGCTGCTGCTTGTTGGGGTGTATCTGCAGCATGGGTATAATATCCCTAGGGGAGGGGATTTGGGGACAGGAAGGAGACAGTCCCCCCAGCAGCAGCGCAGCCTCCAGCAGCAAATTGCTGCCGCCACAGAAGGGATCCCACAGCTGCAGCAACAACGGCAGCAGCAGCAGGAACAGCAGCAAGAACAGCAGCAGCAGCAGCAACACAGAATCGCACAGACACAGCAACGTCATAAGATAAAGGAGGAGCAGCAGCAGCAGCAATAAAATGCATGCACGTGGTTCCTTCAACATCATCTCTAACTGCAGCAGCAGCAGCAGCTGCTGCTGCTGCTGCTGCTGCTGTTGCTGCTGCTGCTGCTGCTGCTGCTGTGTGTAGAGTGTAAGAATGCTTACAATAATACGTTTCTCCCTCATAAGGATTCTTCTTAAGCCAGCAGCAGCAGCAGCAGCAGCAAGAGACACGTCTCCTTCCTCTGGGTCTGTCCCTGCTGCTCCCCATTCAGCAGCAGTATACCCATGTCCCCCTCTTTCTCCTGCTGCTGCTGCTGCTGCTGTTCTTGCTGCTGCTGTTGCTGCTGTTGTTGCTGTTGCTTCTCTTCCTCCTCCTGCTGCTGCTGCTGCTGCTGCTTCTTCTGCTGCTGCTGCAGCAAGGGCCTCTGCTGCCCAGCCTCCTCTTAGATAAAGAAGACGCAGCATAGATATTGTTGCTGCAGATCGGGGTACAATACCCATTTCTTTAGGGGGGCCCCCAGGGGCCCCCTCGTCTTGGGTGGGGTCACCAGGGGCCCCTGGGGGCCCCACGGGAGCCTCTGAGGGCTCATTTAGATTATTAGACGGACTGCTGCTGCTGCTTGTCTTGCGGATTGCTGCATGTTAACAACAGAAGCAGCAAATCTTAGCTCTTCTAGTGCTGCTGTTGCAGACACTGTCTCTGCTGCTGTATCTGCTGCTGTATCTGCTGCTGCTGCTGCTGCTGCTGCTGCAGCAGCAGCAGCAGCAGCAGGTAGATGAGGTAGGTACCTATAAGGACGAGGCTCTAAGGGATTAGACAGCAGCAAATCAGCTAATGCCTGTCCCTTAACACATACTATACGGAGACGGTGTGCTGCTGCAGCAAGTGCTGTCTCTGCTGCTGCTTCTGCTGCTGCTGCTGCTCCTTGCTGCTGCGGCTGCTGTAGCTGCTCTGCTGCTGCTGCTTCGCGGAGAGCAGCAGAGAGAGCAGCACGCAAGGAAGGAGTGTCTCCTATTGGTGAATCAATGGAGACAATCCTCATAGGGATAAGAGGAAGAGCAGCCAATGGCTTTATATACTGCAGCAGCAGCAGCAGCAGCAGCAACGGCAGCAACAGCAACAGCAGCAACACAAGAAAATAGGACCAATTATTGAGGCAAAAAGAAGAGCAGCTGTTGTTGCAACTGTACGCACAGAGACAATAAGTAGCAGCAGCAGCAACAGCAGCAGCAGACAGCAATGCAGCAACAGCAGCAGCAGCAGCAGCAGCAGCAGCAGCAGGAGAACGTACCCTTTTCCACGGTGTTTTAGTAATAAGGGTTTGTAGCTTATCTTTGCTGCTGCAGCAGATGGGGCCCCACAGCCGCAGCCAGACACTTTCTGCTGTACGTACACTGCAGCACAGCTGCTGCAGCAGCAGCAGCGGCACTTGCTGCAGCAGCACACCACCAGGAGTTATACAAAGAGATGGAGGAATAGATGATTCATTATTATCTCCTGCTGCTGCTGCTGCTGTTGCTGCTTCTGTTGCTGATGCTGCTGTTGCTTTTGGTGGTGCTGCTGGTGTTGCTGATGCTGCTGCTGCTGCTCCTGCTGCTGCTGCTGCTATTGCTGGTGATGTAGCTGCTGCTAATCCTGCTGCTGTGGTTGGTGCTGCTGGTGCTGCAGCATTTGCAGCATTTGCAGCAGTAGCAGCGTTTTGTTTTGCTGCAGCATTTGCAGCAGCAGCATTTGCAGCAGTAGCAGCAGCAGCATTTGCTGCTGCTGCTGCTGCTGCTGCTGCTGCTGCTGCTGCTGCTTTAGCTGTAATTATATTAGCATTAGCAAGAAGAGGGAGATTTTTTAATTCATTAAGAAGAGGTAACTCTAAACCCCGACGAGTAGAAAAAAATATACATACACGAACCATAGCCTAAACCCTAAACCCTAAACCCTAAACCCTAAACCCTAGGGGAGGCAATGATGCCTGGCGGAGCGGGGGGGGAGGGACAGACACCCGCCTCTAAAAGGAGACACTTCTTTGTTATTCTGTGCTCTCAGCATTAGACAGAAATAGATAAACCTTAATAAACCCTAATAAACCCTAAACCCTAGGAAATCCTAAACCCTAGGAAACCCTAAACCCTAAACCCTAGAGTAAGGAGACAGAAGGAGTATAGGAGACAAAAAAGGAGACACTTTTCTCCCCTTCTGTTGCATATTTATTATTTACAAACAAAAGAAAATAAATAAAAAAGGGTACTATATTTTTTTAGTCGATTCTTCAGGGGGGCCCCTGGGGGGCCCCCAGTTGTAAGGGGGGCCCCACAGGGGGGCCCCTTTGACCACTCGGGGAGGGGGCCCCTCAGGGGCCCCCGATAGTCTTCTTTCCTTTTTATGAATAAAAAACATTTATTTACTTTTTAATTTATTTAATTAGCAGCAGCAAACAGCATAAATACCCCCAAGACATTGTGTGTTGCTGCTGTGTAGCTGCTACTGCTGCTGCTGCTGCTGCTGCTGCTGCTGCTGCTGCTGCTGCTGCTGCTGTATGGGGCCCTCTCCCGTACATGGCTGCTACTGCATGCATGCATCCCCTTCTCGCTGCTCTCTCAATGCCAGACGCCCCCACTCTCCAGCCAGCTAGCTATACCAAATCAGCTAGCTAGCTAGCTGGCTAGCTAGCTGGCTAGCTAGCTACTATTGCATATATGGTTAGCTATGGCTAGCCAGCGAAGGTTACAGCAGTGACTAGGTACAGGTAGCCACGGCTAGCTAGCTAGCTAGCTAGGTAGCCATCTAGCTAGCTAGGCACCAGTACAGCTGTGGTAGCTGCTGTCTCCTTAGCAGCAAGTAGATAAAGGAAGGCCCTGCTGCAGCAAACAACTCCCTCTCTGTCTCCTCCTGTACCTGTCTCCTTTTTTATCTAACTGTCTCCTTCTCTATTTGTTCCTAGTGTCTCCATCTGTCTCCTTTTGTCTCCTCCTAAGGGTCTACATTTATCTAACTGTCTCTCCTAAACCCTAAACCCTAAACCCTAAACCCTTATAATCCTAAACCCTCGGGCATTGAGCCATATAATACCCATACTAAAGCAGTAAACCCTAAACCCTAAACCCTAAACCCTAAACCCTAAACCCTAAACGCGTAATAATAAAGAAGGAGAGACAATTGAAAGAAAAGACAAAAAAAGGGTTTAGGGTTTTTAGGGTTTAGGGTTTATATATTTTTGTGTATAAATAATTGTCTCCTTTTTTTTGTTGTTGCTGAGGGTTTAGGGTTTAATCAATGTGTCTCCTTTTCTGTCTCCCTTTTTGTCTCCTCTTCCTCTGCAGCAGCAACACCTCTTGCTCCTTCTTCTTCCCCTGCTGCTGCTGTTGTTGCTGCTGCTTCTTCTGCTGCAGTTGCTGTTGTTGCTGCTGTTTCTTTTTCTTCCTCTGCTGTCTCCTCTATTGCTGCTGCTGCAGTGATTGCTTTTGCTGCAATCCCTCCTGCTGCTGCTGTTGCTGCTGCTGCTGCTGCTGCTGCTGCTGCTGCTGTTGTTGGACTTCCTGCTGCAGCAGCAGCAGCATGTTGCAGCAATTGTTCAAGAGGATTAGCAAGGAGACATTTATTTTGTATAATATTAATAATATATCTAGCATAAAAGTCTATATTATTTATACAAGGAAGAGAAAGGAGACACTTTATTATTTTTATTATATTTTTATTTGCTTCCTCTATTTGTATAGGGTCTCTATTACCAAAATTGTCTCCTTTGCTGCTGCTATTTCCTGCTGCTGCTGCTGCTGCTGCTGCAGCAGCAGCAGCAGCTGCTGCTGCTGCTTCATCACCATCAGAACCATCACATGCATCAGCATAAGCAGCAGCAGCAGCTGCTGCTGCTGCTTCTGCAGCAGCAGCTGCTGCAGCAGAATCAGCAGCAGCAGCAGCAGCAGCAGGAGCAGCAGGAAGAGCAGCAGGAGGTGTCTGCTGCCAGAAGATATTAACAGCAACACTAAATGTTTTGCTGCTAGTTGCATGCAACCATAAAGAAGGAATAAATATAGTGTCTCCTTCTTGTATATTAGCTAAATAAAAAGGAGACAATATAAATAAGGGATCTAATGTATATATAGATATACCTGTCTCCTTAATTGCTGCTTCCTCTGCTGCTATCTCTGCTGCTGCACCTGCTTCCTCCTCTGCTGCTGCTAATATATCCTCTATTTCTTCCTCAATATTTTTATTACTTTTTTCTCCTGCTGCTGCTGCTGCTGCTGCTGCTGCTGCAGCAATAGAGGCAATTTTTGCTGCAGCTCTCTTTCTAACAGCAGCAGCAGCTTGTTTTGCTGCTATTTTTGCTGCTGCTGCTGCAGCAAGTTGTCTTAATGGTTGTACTAATAAACTTTTATCTTTATGCATGCGCATGCATAAAAAAGTTTGGGGCTGCCATAAGAAAATACTTTTTTTGCCTATTAATTGTATATAAATATTATTAGGTAAATCATAGTGTATAAATATATTTATTCCTTTAGAGGAGACACGTAGGGAAGAAGAAGAAGAAAAAGGAGAAGGAGAAGGAGAAGAAGAAGAAGAAGGAGGAGGAGAAGGAGAAAGAGGAGAAGAAAAGGAAGAAAAAGAGGTATTATTAGGTATATATTGTGTATATACAGCAGCAAGATCAGCAGCAACAGCAGCAAAAGCAGCAAAAAAATTACTTATTAATACACGATTTATACCTCTCTTGCTGGGATCGATCGATCCCGTGGATCTATAATAGTACCCTTCTCCTTCGCATAGTATTGGAGGGTATCTGCTGCTGCTGCTGCTGCTGCTGTTGCTGTTGCTGCTGCTGTTGCTGCTGCTGCTGCTGGTGGCGGTTGTGGTGGTGTCTTTATCATTGGCATCTTTGCTGCTGTTATCTTCCCCGCTATTGCTGCTGCTGCTGTCGCTGCTGCTGCTGCTGCTGCTGCTGTTGCTGCTGTTGCTGTTGCTGCTGCTGCTGCTGCTGCTGCTGTTATTGTTGCAGTATTCAGGGTCTGTCTGCTGCGCTCTCTGAATTAATTCATGTATAGACATATTAATATGTTTATATGTTTGTTTATTAATAAAATTAAATTGCTGAGGATTAGGGACAATAAAAACAGAGACACTTTTATCCCTTATTTTTTTTATTAAATAGTCTCCTTTTTTGTCTCCTTTTCCCCATTTATTTATACATTTATTTATTATATTTATGTTACGTAGTATACAGGGGACACCTAATGGTACTATATCCCTTATAAAGGAGACACCATCTATACCCTCATATATAGGTACAGGTATACCATCAGGGGCCCCCATCAATATCTGACGGAATAGGGGGCCCCCTGTTATACCTAAATCCTTAAATGTATGACCTACATACTCGGGGGCCCCCTCCAGAGAAAAAGGGGAAGAGGCCCCACGGCGAGACTTTCTAGGCCGACGGGGGGCCCCAGACGATCCTGGAGAAGGAGAGGGGGCACCGGGGGACCCTGTTGAGGGAGAGGGGGGCCCTGGGGACACTGAAGGAGGAGAGGGGGCCCCTGGGGGCACTGAAGAAGGAGAGGGGGGCCCTGCGGACCCTCTAGGAGGTTCGGGGCGCACAGGGGCTTCCGTAGACGGGGAAGGGCCAACAGGGGGCCCATTATTTATGTTATTACCAGTAGGTACTGGTGGGGGGCCCCCTTGGGGGCCCCCCTCTACAGTAGTCATTGGGTAATGGGTAGGAAGAAAGGGGGAAGAAAAGAAAAAATAAATAAAAAAAATATAAATAATAATTATATTTAAATAAAATAAATTAAAAAAGGAGAAAAAAAGGAGAAGAAAAAGAAGAAGGAAATTGCATGCGCAGTAGATCAAGGGAAGGGGGGCCCCACACACCTTATAAACCCTAAACCCTAGTAAACCCTACTAAACCCTAAACCCTAATAAATCTTTATAAACCCTAAACGCTAAACCCTAAACCCTATAAAAAAATATATTTTATTTTTTCTTTTGTCTGTAGGAGGGTTTAGGGTATAGACTATAAATACCATTCCCTATCCTTACTCGAGTACC